TATGCAACTCTCAGAATGCATTCTGTAGCAGTAATTTAAAATAGGCTTGCCTAATAGCTTTGCTCACATCGTCATTTTCCCAGTAAACTTCATTACAGCCTTAGCTTCAAAATTAAGCATTAAGCTGGTTAACATAACTAACAACACTGCAAATGATCCGTTCGTGTGATGATGCATGTCAGAAAGGGCCTCAAGAGGTCATCCAGTAATCCCTAGTGAGATGGGGTCTATAGAAAATTAAGAAAAGTATTCCTGTCTGTAATAAAATGCATTAAAGTAAAAATATGTTTTCTCAAAGATGCTAATACACATCCAGATCTATTGCTTATTTATTGTAACATACTGAGAAACTAAGTACCCCTAAAAAGCAGAAGTCACTGCTTAGGCAATACCTAATCTGCTTAGAATCTAAATGGATGAACTTGCGAGATAGTAAAATCAAAAAAAAAAAAAAAAAAAAAAAAAAAAAACCACACCCCACAGCTGCCTTCAGATTTTTAACATAATTGCTGGAGAAATAACAGAGTAATGACATTTTGGAGGAAGATCAGCCTGCAAATACTCCTCCCACCTCCATTTACATGCACAGGAAGGGCTTTGTGTCTTCATTATGGCAAAGCATATTCTGATTGTTTAGAAAGCACAAGAAAACAAAGCTGACTCTCTGAAACCTACACAAAGGAAAATGAGAACCAACTCAAAACAACAGAACTGCAGCTGTTAGGAATATACACCACATCAGTACTAGAAAACCTAGCTTAATCATTATATTCACATACTTGAAGTGATAGGAAAAAAAAAAGACAGAAAAAGAAAAAGGTTGTCACCAATAAGTTGCTAAGTATTAGGTCAGTGAACAAGGTTCGTTCACTAGAGAGCACAGGTGAATCTTCACACCTGTGACAACACAGACAAGTAGGGTACACACCTAAAATAGTCCTTGTTTGGTTCCCTTAAACACCAAGCACCTGACAATGCCAGTAACTGTTAACTATTTTATCCTGCCATTACAAGGCCAAGATACAGAAAGTTATAGCCAATATGAAAAAGTCTGTGATAGTAATTTTGAAAAACTGTTTTGAGATCATACAAGGAAAAAAAACTTAGGTTGGATTCAAACAACTAAACAAACTCTGCTGCCTGCTGCTAAGTAGTATCTACCACCACGATCTAGTAAAAGAAACCTACGTGAAAAATCCAGGATCAGACCAGTTTGCATGAATGCGCAAGGCTCATCCAGGCTGGTTCCAAAGAGCGCCAGGTCCTGGGACACACAGACACAGTAGCAGAAGTAACGAGAAGCATTAACTAGTTACTAAAAAAGTGATGACACAGCCAATTTTAAAACACAGGTGAAGACAAATTAATCCTGAATCAATAATAACTAATATTTAACTTAGATTCATTCTATTTCAGCAACAACTTCTCTTCCATGTACTTAGCAATTCCTACTATAAAAAATAGTTGCTCTTCCACTGACTGGCAATTGCATCTAAATAGATGTTTTGTCAGATATAAGTGCTTTTCTTCAAGAGCTTTAAAAAGTTATTACTTTTAATTAAAAGTTTTAAAATTAAATTTACTTTTAAAAGTTACTACATAATAAATATGTTGTTATACTAAAACACAAACTACTAATTTATTTAGACAGTAACAAAGCACACCCTTTCTTTCCATTATTAGATGACTGTTTGCATGGAGAAACCTGGGCATAATACACTAGACTAATTTTAAAATGCACTTTTCTACATTGCCTCCCCTCAGACACTTGCAGTACATCAAGAATACAGGGTGTCTTCTTCCACTTTCAAGCTACAGTTCTGCAAGTTGCACAAAGTCACTCTTAGCAATGAATTACAAAAATATGATGATATATGGTCTTGCTAATTACAGCTTTGTTGCATATAATTTTGTTCATGTCTGGGAAAAACGCAAGAGCATGTGTGTAATTACTTGTTTGCAGAGACAGACAGTACCTGCATGAAGACACAACACATGGCTGATTTTTTATGCAGTGTTTTACAAATAAAAAAGGGGGAGAGAAATGTCCTGTTTTACAAAAACTTAGTTATAGAATGATGAGGATTACTCACTACTACTAACTGTTCTCTTTTGCCATTCATTATCAAGCAGTAACCCTCTAAGTTACCTAAATACAAAAGAAAGAAAATTGCATATTTTTAATTATACTTGGCAACTTGAAACAAGATAAAACTTTTTTTGTGGACTTCAATCTGGAAACTAGCAGGATAAAAAAGACCTCTTTTGAGCAAGGTCAAAGGGGAACTCTTTGTATTGCAAATGCTTTTGTTTCCAAGATAGTAATTACTGCTATTCAGAGGGTTATTTACAAAGTTACTTGAACAAGTGCAGGGAGACCTCAGAAGAGTCTTGAACTACACAAGGAAGCAAACACTTATATACTTAAACAAACACAGGACGTAATAAAATGGGGAAAAGATAAGCTCATTCACTGTGCATAGGAAACTTAAATTTCATGTAAGGTACAAAGGTTACCAGGAGATTGTGAAACTTGCCCAACTTCTTCCTGTACATTCCTTGCTAAAGAATGTACAAGTATGGCCTTAGAATATCAAAATCCCAAGCCAATGCACTCTTAAAATAAGTTGTGCTCCTTAAGCGGGAGTTGAATTTTCCAAATCAGTTCTCCACACTGTGTAAATCACTCTGCCTCAATTCCCAACTCTGCTCTAACACATGTGTGTGTTATTATTACCTGTCTGTAATGATGCTTCACTGTGCAATAATTTATAAAAATTCATTTGAGGCAGACCGGTCTAGAACATTTATTTTCAGTCTGTGCTCCACAAATTCTTGGGCAGCTCTGGAGAGCTAGAAGATTCAGGGGTGATAAAAATTTAGACTTATGTTTCTCAGTTATGTAAGGCTCTATTTCCTATACTATATATATAGGAAGTGTTAAAGGCAGAGTTCGGAACAGTTAGGCCACTCATGACCCAACCCTCCTTCCTCAGAATAATTTCACTAATGTGCATTAAGCTTAGCCTCCTGCCTCCTCTGTACCAATACAGTGAGGTCAAAATTACATTCTCAGAAAGTAGTATAAAACTTAAGGTTTAAAAAGTAACATATACAAGGTTGGACAACTTCAGACACCTGCCATGCTGAACAATAAGCCTACTATCTAGCATAAAAAACAGCTAAGATGCTACAATTTCTTCCAAGCATTCCCAAATTCTCAACTCCTCAAAGCTTAGAGAACTTACTAAAAATAAAGTTAACCCCAGTTTATACTTCTTATGCTGTTCTTAATATCTCCTACGCATTTCTGCCCCAAACACTTCTTGCATTTTTAACTTCCTTCTGGCTTCTTGTCTCTAAATCTCTTTAATATGCTCATGGCTCACACCTGCCTAACTTGTTCTTTTTGGTGAAAAAGGTGGAGAAATATATGGAACATCCATTGTCTCTGTCCTACTGCCCAGGACCATCTCCCCAAGGAAAACTGATGACATCATCCTCCTCTGCCTTAAGGGGAAGAGGATGTCAGCACTGCTAACACTGGCACGCTGAACTTGGGAGTGTAAACAACATTTGCCCTACTCGCTCCTTTTAGATGTACTAAAGGCATTCATTCTGACATTATTATGGTGCTACACCAGCCCACCCTTTATGCTCTTTTACTCAGCTTCTAGTTTCACACTCTTTTGGAAATAGTGAAAGAACAGAAGCAAATTCCCTTCTGACAGCGTCCCTGCCGTCCAGAGCCTTCTGGAGGGCAATTCAGAACCTCAAAAGCTGCAGCAACCACCGCACTGCTACTAACTGCCCATTTCAGCCTTTCCAAATCTTGGATACTTTTCACATCCACTTTCAGGCAATCTCATACAAATTAGATTGCTGAAGAACAGGCTGAAAAGGCTTTAATAATCGTGTTATTGCAAAGCAAATTACACTTCACAATCCAAATCGGCATCTTCAGTTACTCATCTCTGGGGAAGCTTAGGGAGAAGACTTATTGCAAAAAATGTGGTAAACAAAAAAGAAATCCTTACTGAACTAATACAAACTACAAACAATGAACAAGAAAGAAAAGGAACAAGGTACCTTAAGAGTAGCAAAACACAAGAAAGAAAAGCAAGGAAATACAGTGAGAGGACATTCAATATTTTTATCAGAAATCAGGATAGAATCACATAAAGATGATACCATTTGCTACTTCAGATAGAGATTTATCACCGAGTTCTGCATTGAATGCAATACATACAGTGCAATTTATACTGAAGTCCATATGATTATAAAAGTTGTTTACTGAAGAGAAAAAAAAAAAAGAGGGAGAGAGAGAGAGAGAGAGAGAGAGAGAGAGAGAGAGAAAAGAAGCTCCAGAAATTTACAACAATGGCAATACAGTTCTTGTCAACTTTTAGATTTTCCTGAAGTTATTGAAAAAAACTTATCAGACAGGAAAGGCAGAAGACAACATCTATCATGAGATTCAAAAATTCTTTCTAGAAAGAGTGTTCATTCCTTTCGCACACTAACTAACAGAAGCAAAGCTTTTGTAGATGAGCTACCTTAGACAAAACTTGTGGCTTATTCTTATCAGTGGCTGTGTTTCAGAGAATGATACCCCACACCCACGTGCTGCCCCACAGCACCACACTCCTTCCTTTTCTATGCTCCTACTGCTAGACACCTGACAGGCTCCTGAAATTTTTAATATCTACTATTTCCACCAGGTATACGGTATATGTAACTTAAGGCACTCAACTCCTCTGTGCATCAGTTTCTTCACCTAACATAAATGGAAAGCCACACTTACTTTCAGGGAAGTAATATCTGCTATCTGCTTCTCATATCAGGTAAGTAATACACAAATACTTCCATTACATGCCTGTAAATATACCAGTAGAAATCTCTTTTTATCTACTAGGTACATGCCTTTTGTCTCTTAAGACTATGACAGAAAATTTCCTACATTCCTCCCAAAACAACACTGAGAGGGCAACGCCTCTTACCTGATTTTATAATTGGGTAAGGTGTGTTTGCGCTTAATGACTTTCTTGAACTGGTTCACAATGATGGAAGTGAGCTGGGGCATGGGCCTCCCTTCAAACTGGGACTTCACCTCAAAGACTATCACCGGGTCATCCATAAAAGAGAAGGACCAGTGGGTGAAGGGCAGGCGTGTGAAGACCAGCTTCAGCTTGCCCATCACCCGTGAGATCTTGACGAAGAGGTAGGCTGACTTGCCGAAGACCAGATCAGCATCGATGGCCAAGTGGAAGCCCCCGTTGTACTCCAGGTCAACCTCGAAGCCCAGCTCCTCGGGGCAGCCTTCTTCGTTGCAGACCACAGGCCGAATGAGCTTAACTGTTTTGAAGACGGGCAGGACGTTGCCCAGAGAGACGTCCCGGAGGCTGAGCCCCTCCAGCATCTTCCCTGTCATCTTGGTCTGCAGCAGCTCCTCGAACTCCACCTTGATCTTCTTGGTGACCCAGTTCCTGACCAGGGCCGTGTCCCTGAGCTCCCTGAAGAGGAAGAGAAAGATGGCATTGAGGAAGTGGCAGGTCTCCTCCTGGGACGACGGAGTCGCAGGGGGCTCCTG